GGGATGTCAAACACCGATAAACAACATGTTGTGTGGTCCTACCCTCTGTATCTGTGGCACTGCTGATGACGTGAGCCAGTTTGGTCTTGAGGCTTGTGTAGGTTGTGCTATTCTTGCCCGCTGTCTCGTGTCGCCCGGTGCCCAGAGACAGCACGCACTGCAGAGGTGTGTTTGGCCACAGACATTTACATTCATGAATGGCCAGAGCTGTGGGGTTGTTGATTAGGAGTCCTCCGTCCTAGAGAGGAAGAAAGGCTGCCATGTTTTTATTGTGCAGAGAAAGATTTTTTGGAATGTGTCCTATAGCTTAAATATATCTGTTATGACAGCATGTTGAGGACAAATGAGGTAAGTGGACAGGCTGTCCTGGAGCTACACAGCTTTAGGCGAGAGATGTGCTGTGATGGAAAACAGCCATGTTTATCATGAAGTAAACAAGCCCGGAAAACAGTGGTTTTATCTGCCCTCAAAAATAAGTTGCATTTGGATCATTTGGACAGAAATTACCTACAGTGGATACAGAGTTTAATAAATGTAGCTTCACTGGTAAATCACAGTGCGTTTCAGGATTTTAATCTTACAACTTTCTTGTATTATCCCATTGCTTTTGCACTACCCATTTGGTGTGCATTTTTACTAAATAGTGTTAACAGATTCTTGACAGAATCATGAACAGAGAAAAAGAAAAGAAAAAGAGAATAATCCAGCTCAATGGCTGTCTGAACCGTTTTGCTGCTTCTGCTCTTTGTCAGCCTTTCACCAAGTTCAGCTCTGAATTTAATCCAAGCACTGAAGTTCTTTTGGCTGAGATTAAATAGTGTGAGAGTGTGGCACTCCATTTTGCCCCGCAGAGAAGTGGGAAGGTTATTTCCACTCTTCTACAGGTGGTGGGCAACAGAAAAGCAATGAAACTAATGCAGTAGTTTAGTTTGTAAGGATACATAACCAGCATAAAAGACTTAGAAATCATTTTAGGATGCACATTTATATCAGACTCAAAGTGTCATCTGATCAGAGTTCCCTGTTTCACTCTTCAGATTGACCATAGGCTGTAACGGGTCAGTAGCACCAGGACAACAAACAAAAGCAGAAAGCTCCTGGTAACAAAAATCTTTTCTTCTGCTCTTCACTTATCCGCACATTACATTAGACCACAGTAAGTGTTGATCTTAATGGGTCTGCTCTGCTCTCAAGGCGTTCTTATGGTACAATAAAACATTAAAAGTGTCATTTTAAGCCTGGTTGTGTGACTGTTAAGACAAAGGTGTAATCAATTCATATATATTCGTATACTATAAGCTGCACTGCTGAGACAAACCACACAGATTTCTCTTGACTCTGACACTAAATGACATTCAGAACCCCTCTGATCTCAGTGACTGCAAGAAACTCAATGAAATGAATGAAATGAAGAAACCAATGGACTTGAGTGTGTTCATGTGTTTTTTTAATCCCTTGCAGTGGCAGAACTCTCCTGAGAAATACCGCTGCAAGTGCTGAAAACTAGAGTAGGAGTGAGATCAGTGGGTGGCGAGCGTAGCTCAAAATGTTGATGAAACACTATTTGGCTCCAAGAGGAATTTGGAGAACAACGCACATAACTCTCTCAGTCTCTGTCTTTCCATCCCTGCTGTCAGCCCAGTGCATCGGAAACAGATACTTTCTGCAGAGGTGTAAGTGAGGAGAGAAATGTGCAAACAGAAACAAACACACACACACACACACACACGTTATACATGCAAACAGAAATGTAACTGTAATTGTGTTGGATAGAAAGGGAGATTACAGCCATGTCATATTTGCCTTGTTAATAAATGGACAGAAAGCAGCAGACAGCTTAGCTTTTGTTAACTAAAGATTAGAGCACGTTTGCTGGGATAGTGCCACAAAAAAAGCTCTCCGGGCAAACTATGAGCAGGCCTTTGGTTCTAAACCAATAACGTCTACAAGTATCAAGGCTTATGTAGACCAGAGGTGGAGATTATGACCTGTTATTGGCTAAAAAACACAAAAGAGGGGGTCTACAAGGACTACTGTATTAGAAAATGGCAGGGGAGAGAAGAAGGGACGAGGCTAATTTTGCTTAAGTAGGTTATCAAAATGAAGCTAAGCCTTGAGGATAATTGCTGCCTGTAAGATCATCTAAAGATATCCTGCCCTAATAATACCACTTCAAAATAACACTTTAATATTAGTCTTTCTGGGCAACTTCCAGATTTATTAGAGTACAGCAAAATACCAGTGTGTTTTCTTTTTCTTTTTTCTTTTTTTTGCCTGTCCCGTTTGGCTCTTTTGCCATCAGAATTATTGTCTAAAGGCGAAGAAAGATGCCCAACGGATTTACTTTACCAAATTGACCAGTGTGTTTTCTTAAATTGCAGCACATTTGAACTCTCAGGGCCACCGTCTAAGCCCCACCTACTACATTAAAAGCAATCAGTTTTTAAAATGAGAAAAAAAACCAATACATCTGACAAGAATCCAAACTAGAACCTAAATGACATATTGGGCAATATTACAAGCTGACTGATGATCTCTGTAGAGTCTGCATGTTCTCACTTTGCTCGTATGAGTTCGCCTCCCACATGCTTGTCGGGTTAACGGCAGATTCAAAATTTTCTATAGGATCGGAATGTGAGTGTGAGCAGTCCTCTGTCCCGGGTGTTGCCCTTCCTTTCGCTCTGTGACAACTGGAATAGGCTCCACACAGACACAGTTCCTTTAAAATATTCTCTTTCATAGGGAATCAGAAACATTTGCAATTTCCCTCGAGGAAGGCCTCTCGAGGTGTAAAAAGGAGGATACCATTGATGTTTATGGGCACAGACCAGGTCTGAGGACTCTCTCTCTCTCTGTACCGCCACCCCATTCTGTTGACTTTCCCCTCTGTCCTTCAGGCTCTTGACAGCCAGAAAAGAGGAAGAGCCAATTATGGGGCTGTTCCAAGGTTGTGAGTTTGAAATAGTGGAACAAATCTGCACATATATCCTTGATGCACAAACACACACAATGCACTTCAGCTTAGTTTATGTGTAATAAAATGCTCTATGTAAATAAAACTGCCACTGCTGTTGCAAGCAGTGCCTGTGTCCTTGGCACTGGTCCCTTAAAAAAGCAGCATCGTGGCAGAAGCGCATTGGTAGATTTCCTGGAAAGCAAACCTCTTAGAGACGTGCACTTTCACATGCCAATCTCAATCTCTGTTACTTCCATAACACTGGCTTAATTTTAGGCTTAATTTGTGACAGAGAATAATTTTTATGGTTTTGAAAATGTGGAGGTCAACTGAAACCAAGACACAATAACTAAATTAATATATTGTGATTTAGTTAGTGAAGTGGATAAGCAGTTAGCAGCATGAGTGGATGGACAGATGAGTTCAGTTCAGACTTAAATTTAAGTTAAGAATAAATAAATAAACTGAATAAACTGAACAGTCAAACATCTCCCAGTTGTCTCACATTCATGTTGTACCTGATGAAGGTCTTTTCCCAGAACAAATTCCTGAAAGTAGCCCGGAGCGGCAGACGAGGCCCTGATAGCCTGCCACATCTTGTGTTTGCAGTCTCCATAGTAGTGAGATCTCACTCCTGGCATGAGTCGATAGTTCCTGAACACATATGCCTTCAGAGGAAGACCTCTATTCACAATAGTGCTCACTGCTGACACCTAGTGGGCATGAAAAGAACTTTTTAATTTTGAAATCAGTTTCATGAAACCCTTCAAGTCCTA